GGAGGACAGAATTAGAGACTGCCTCACTTCAAATTAGGGATCCAAACAGAAGATGGGTGCCTTGGCTTGAGTGTAGTATCTGAGGCTTTTTTTTCCCCATGAATTTACTGCAGGGTGGAACTTGACACAATTACACTGGGGTGTATGCAAGAAACCCCACCAAGAGGCATCAGATATGAATGTAAGAGGAGTGCAAATCTTTAAGATTGCTTTTGCAGTGGGAGGCTTCACCAGAGAGAGTGGGGAGCAGAACAGGCAAATGTGCGAAGTACAGTGCTGAGGGGAGCAGCGGGCGGGTCAGGAGAGGTCTGTTGGGCTATATGGGTCACTCCTGGGGCTGGGGATCAAACTCATACTAAAGTGGCTGCAGCTAGCTTGCAGTGTTGCACCCTAACCCGCTGCGCCACCAGGGAGGGCCTCTTTATGTCCTATTTCTTTGCCATTGGAAGCTGCTCCAGACAGCCATGCAACCAAATCTCCCAATTTTCTCCAGCATCATTCTTTCCCAGCTTTGTAGGCTAAGCCCTAAGGCCTTTCTTCTCTCCTAAGTTTTTGTTCTTGTTTTTCAAATTCTACTCTCATAATTCAGCACTATGAAAGATTTAGGATCCATTGAAGCACAACTGCCAGAAAGCACATGGAAGAGTAAGACTCAACAACGGTGAAGGAGACAGAGATAAATCTGTCTGTTGAAGACAGAAAGAGAAAACGAGTGGCTTACACTATAGTAAGTAAAACACTTCATTTGTTGAAAAAATGTTGAGTTTAAAGTGTAAATACTCCTTTTATTCAAGCGGAGCTTGAAAAGAGAAATGATGATATATTTTAGTCACTACTTTTGCCCTGATGATTATTTGCTCATTTCAAATAAAATGTTTTTCTCCTTCTCTGGATACTGATGATTTACTACCATGGTTCAAAGTTGGCTGAAAGATTCCCATCCATTTATGAAAAGATTCACTAGGAATAATGCTGGATTTCAGTGATATCACTTTCATTCAGATGATTCTGCAGAGCACAGAGAGACTTCGTTTTTCATGTCTGCGTTAAGAAGTTACATGTTTCCCTACTTACCTGCACATAGATCATTCCTATTTGGTTTGGTAGGAATTACTTTCTATTACTTTCTGGATTGGGAATGCTAAAAAAGTTTCCATAAAGGGCCTCCCTTGTTGCTCAGGGGTTAAAGACAGTGGTGCCAGTCACTGCAGCACTAATTTGATTACCCTCCGCCAGCCAGAGAGCTAAGGCATTTGGCTCAGCAGACCTATCCTCAGCAGTGTATTTCAATAGATCTGATTGTTCTGCTCCCTGGTCTGTCTCCTCTGAATCTTCTTACACACACACCTCAGTTCTTGTATCATAAATAAATAATTTTTTTTATTTTACAAAAGTTTATTTTTACATCATTTTGTACATTTTGTTTTCAATCTCAATTGTAATATCCGCAGGTTTCCCATCACCAAGTCACCCGTGTGCCATCACCAAAATTTTTAAAAAATTATCAAGTAAACTGTTGGCTTGTGTTTGTATGTCATTGCTTTTTAGTTTCCCTTTTGAAAGTACTTCATTTTTTTTTTTGTATTTTACCAAAATATCGATCTGTAATAAATTGGTTGTCAAACAAGCTATTTATCACTAGAGACTACTAAAGAAGCATTGATATCAAACATTTGTAAATCTGGTGGACTGGTCAGTGTTAGTACAAATGAAGTGAAGAACATATTAGAGAGACAAACTACAGGCTGTTTTAGAAAGCAAAACAAAAAGCCAAAAGAAAAGGAACTCCCTAGTGGCACAGGGGTTAAGTCTCAGTGAGATCAAGCTATCAGCTACCACCATTGAGGCCTGAGTCCAATCTCTGCCAGGGAGCTGACCCATATATGGCTCACCCACTGCTCCCCTCAGCAGTGTATTTCAGTTAACCTGCCTGTTCTGTTCTCCACTCTGCCTCTGGTGAATCCTCTCCCCCTCTCCCTTTGCACCTCTGGCCTACATTCCAGTTTTTCCACACATAAATAAATATATAAACAAGCAGACAGACAGACAAATAAATACATGCATCTTTAAAAGAGAAAAAGAAAAAAATGTCAAAGGGTCTACGGGCGGGACATGAAAAAACTGTTGTACAAATATAGGATGTGAAGTGACCTTGTGGTTTAAATGTCAGTTAAGTAGTTTATTACTCAGAAGGTGAGTCTGAGCAGAACTGTCAGATCTAGAATAAGGAAGTAAAGAAGCTTAGAGTAAAAAGTTTAGGATGAGGTGTCACAAGACCTGCAACTTGAGGTGTAGATAGACGTGATTAATGAGTCATTAAAATGGCGATGGAAGATTTGCAGACAAAGATAGAAACAAGAGGTGGGGAGGTGGCCTATAGTCTAGGGAGACTTGTCATTATAAAGAAACACCAGTGCTTACAGATGAACCCAGGCAGAACTTCGAAGTGATAGATTCCACAATCGATAAAATTGCACAAAAGAGTGAATCCCTCCAGAGAACACTATATAAGGATACTCCTGGCTCTGTTAAAAGGCAGATCTTTATCCTAAGACTCTCTGCCTGCATGTGGGCAGTTCTCTTTTTCCTAATAAACCCACCCTTTTAAAATGCAGCCTTTGGCTGTTTGTGTCTATGCCAATGTCCTTAATGAACTCACTATGAGCCACTGAATTATAAAACTCTGCCGAAATCTTTCTCAGAGGGAACCCAAGCAAGAACCCCATCCACTGAACCCCAAACAAAGATGCTTAGGCTACATTTCATTCTAGGTCTCTTCTTTTTAGAAGAAATTGCAAGGTTCTCTCAGGAGAGAGAGAGAAAAAAAACATATCCACTGAACCCCAATGGAAGGAGGCTTCTGCTGCATTTCATTTTAGGTCCCTTCTTTTTTTCTTTTTAAAGATTTTATTTATTTATGCTTACAGAACCGGGGTACAGGCCAGTGGTGTGGTGGGTGAGAGGATTCACCAGAGACAGAGCGGGAAGTAGATGGACAAAGTACACTGCTGAGGGGAGCAGTGGGCAGGTCAGGAGAGGTCTGCCACGCCATGTGGGTCAGCTCCCTGGCCTGGAGTCAAACTTGCTGCAGTAGCTTTGGAGAACTTCATAATTTGGTGCTTTAACCCATTGCGCCACCAGGGAGAGCCCCTATGTCCCTTCTTTTAGGAGAAATTGCAGGGTTCTCTGAGAAGAGAGAGGGGATACAAAACATGTCTTAAGCAGGGGTCAAGCTCCAGCTGATCTAGGAAGTGACTAAAATTGTATCAATATCTTAAGGAGCCAGAAATAAGTGACAAGGTTTCTTTCAAACTGGGGTTTCTGTGGCTTCTAATTATGAATGAAAGCCAGAAAATCAGTTGAGATGTGGCATCTCATTGAGAATGATGGGACCGAAGTAACTGAAGTAGAAAGCTAAGAGAAGATGCCAGGGAGATACCAACAAGGCTGTTTGTGTGCAGTGACCAGTGTGACAGACTCCTAGAAATATGCTTTGCCATGGGACAGGACATATGGCTAGTAAGGGAGTTTGCTATGGCTGCTTCCCGTCTAGTAGGCCCAGAGTGCCACACATGTAGTCACTTGTAGAGGTGGTGTTCCCAATGGCAATATGCTAAGCAGGCCAGACATTCCAGCAAAGGCCTGACCAGTTAGTGGTTTGGGTCAAGACTTTTACTGGAATAAAGCAGAAAACCAGGTTACTACAAAGACAATGAGATGGGGAATTAATCCAGTTACTTGAAGTGCCACATAATCACCAGAGAGTGGATTCTTTCTCTGTAACACACATTGTGCTAGGGATTTATCAACAAGGTTCATGACAGAGGAAGATTTCATTGCCCCTATTTGTTTGATGGTAAAACTGAGGCTTTGATTAGGTAAGCAGCCAAGTTATTGAACCCAGAGCTCTAAACCCCATCTCTTCATTTACCCAAAACCTCTGTATTCATCCCCCACATTAAGCCTTCCATTAAACACCTTGTCAGGTAAAGTGTAATTCTTCCCATGAGAAACTGCCAGGAAACCACCCCGAATGTAGTACTTTCGCCCTGTAGAAACTTGTCAGAGGGTTGGTAAATGAATGAGTTTGGAGTGGTCAACAAGGAGTATACCAGCCGAGACTTTTAAAGTATTGCAAAAAAGGAGAAACTCTACAAAACAAAATACATCTTGAAAATGGTTACTTTATTTCAAAATATTTATGCCTTAACCTTTATAGGCCACCCAAAGTGCGGTGGTCAGTGAACCATGCTCTGTTGGTCCCCTGGAAGGCAGAGCTCAGAGGGCTGTTGGATGAACCAAGGGGCTTCTGGGAGAGGCACAGGGCTTCCCTGAGCCTTCTTTCCCAGTTAGTTTTGGCTCAAAGGACATGGCTCTGAGAATGATTTCCACTAAAGCCATCTTCCACGGAAACCACAAAGAGAAGCTAACCTTTTCTCCTTCGAAGTATAAGAAAGCATGCTTGTGTGAGACTGGAGGGAGAGGCGGGGAATGTGGACAGAGAGGGAGGGGTGGTGTAATAACTCTTGTAGTCATAAGGCTTGCCAGTTGGTAGTTGCTAGTATTCCAGACACTTCCTAATGCCAGACAAATGCCCCAAGCCTCAGCATGTCTAGCTTGGAGATCTATTCAAGCAATAGCAGCTACCTCTTGTGGGGTGAGCAGATCTTTCAGAGAGGGCTCCCTGCTAATCAAACACAGCATTGTTCTCAGAAGGAAGAATGGAAAGGTTTGTTTCAGAGTCACACTTTTTTTTTTTTAAGAGGCACCCAAGTTGTTTTAACAAGTTGCTACAAAACTTGGGCTTCCTGAGGTGAGGCTCTTGTGCACAGTGCCTGTACTGTACCAAACTCCAGAGAGGGAGGGATCAGAAAATTAGTCATTAAAAAAAAAAAAAGAAGAAGAAAAAAAGAAAGAAAGAAAAAAAAAAAAAGGCTCCAGGCACTTCATGCCTGGAAATGATGTAAGACGCAGCCACTCCTCTCTTAGAACTACAACCAAACAATGCTCTGGCAATCCACGCAGCTGCTCTCCAAATGTCAGCGCCAGCCCTGTCAAGAGTTTGAAAGCCACCAAGCTGAAGGACTTTGTGCGGTACCTTTCTCATCCACATTTTCCCCAAGCGCTCTCAGGAACCTGGCAACAGGTAACACGGCAAACTTTGCCTTGTAAAGTGGCAAGTGGCAGAGTTTCAGAGAACAAATGGATTTTACCCCCCCTGGCAGCTGCTTCTCTCTTACCACCCCAACCCCTCAAACTCCCTCCCTGCCCCCCAAAATGTCTGAGAAAACAAATGTGACTGCGCGCAGCCCTGTTCTCCAGTGCCTCCTAGTGGCCATCTCGGAACACGCCGATGCGCCTTGAAATCCTCGGCTGTCTCCAAGGTAAGTCCTGCTCCTGAAAGGGGCAGACATCTTTGCTGGACTCGTCTTCCAAAGAATAAAAAAATAAATAACGAGAGGAATTTGTGACTTCCACTTGTTATGTTCTTCGTATGTCTTTGTTTTTTAACTTTCTATCGTAACAAAAATTTTACCCTAGTTGCAGAGTGAGATCTCTTTGTGGAAGTTGCTGGATTTTTTTTTTTAAGCTGCAGCGAGGGTAACTTATTTTGGTGTTAGGCTGGTGAGGAGGGCTGTGGCCATTTGGTTAGGTGGATGGCAGTGCGGATTAATAGCCGAGAGATTGAGGCTTCCTGCTGGGTGGGACCAGCATTTTCCATTTTATTCTGGATCTGTAGTCTGTAAGCAGAAACCCTTTTCTCAGGCAGAAGGATTACTAATTCCGACTGCTGGCTTCCAGTTTACCCAGTTGCAAGGATTACTTCGGATTTCCAGACTGCAGGCCCAGCTTCCCAGAGCACTCTTTGGAGCCGCACCTTGGCTTTCATCTCTGTGTGGGGCAAACACCCACAAAAATGCCAAGGGCCGTGCTTGTAACCAGTCTTCTTGCTCTCAGGTGCAGCTTCCGCCTGGCTGTCTCTGATTTGGAAGAATGAGTAGGGTTGTGAGCTGCTGGTATCTGCTCTTCCTCTTTGGAAATGTTAACTGAGGTTCAGATCAAAGTAACAGTTTCCTTCAGAAAGTTCCATTAATTAACTAAATTAAAGGAAGTTACATGTTGTTTGGAGGAAAGTCATTTTAGAAGGCCCTGGTCCAGGAGCTAAGGTCTGAAACCTTCTAATGTAGACTTTTGATAAAGCTTGGCAGTAAGTTAAATATTAGAAATTGAGGGTTACCATATATAAAACCAGTTGTTGCCTGAAATCAGTAATTTCAAAGGAACATCTTGAAAGTGGAAGATATTCGGCTAGTATTTGTTTAGACCATTTAATACTAAAGATTAAACATCTAGAGCTCTGAGTAAGAATCATTTGACCAGTAGCAAAGGTGAGTCATAGTCATAGACCTAAGCACAAATGTTGAAGTCAGGATGTTGAAAACATTAGGCTTACTAATTTGCAAGCAGGGCTGTTGCTTCCAGTAGGGAATGTGATCAGGATTTCACGGTTCATTTTCCCAGCCTTTCCAACAGGTGCTATTGAGTCATCCATGTACACAGATGACTGCCTGGCAGTTTCATCTGTTAGGATTAAATTTCCATTTGTCCCACTACTTTATGAAGTGATTTCTGCCACTGAATCAGATATTTCACTTCCTCTAGGACCTAGGGTTTTGTTTTCCAGTGTTGTGTAGGTTTTTCAAAGTTTGTCCCAGTCAGGTCTGCAGGTCTTCCTGGGTTGAATGGACTGTTTACAAAAGGGGAAGATTCAGGGCTCAAGGTCAGGGTTACAGAATTATATAAGGTTTCCTGTTTGGGCAGCTGGTCCACCAACTCCTCAGGTCAGGGCAGACTGGATCTGGTTGAGAGACAGCCTGCCTAGGAGATCTGGGTTAGGGATGGTGTCAGGAGTAGGGAAGAGAATTCTTCTTTTAAACTTTTTATCAATCAGCTTTCTTGTCTGATATCACTTCTCAGTGATACTTTTCTATATTCTCTGCTAGGTAAATTATTTCTTCCTGACCAAAAACGAGACAAGGAATTACTTCAGGATGTACGAATGACAAGATCAGGCATAGTCTGTTTTATTAATTCATGATGTGATGGCAGTACTTAGAATCCATGTGGCGCATGTTAGTACCTTGATAAATAATTGTTAAAGAGCTGAATAAGGATGGGAAGATGTTTAGTGGGAAAAAACCAAGAAGGGACCAAATAATCATGAAAGGGAAGTGAGCAGGGTAGAAGTAAAATGAATGCTCAGCAAAGTCATTTTCTGTGACCTTGGATGTTGCAATGTGATCTGTCACCAGAGCCCACTACTGCTTGTTATTGACCAGCCAAGTGCTGGTCAAGTGCAATTGCCATTGACTAACCTTTGAGAGGGGGTTTGGCTATAAAAGCCCAAAGCACTATCAGCTGAAACCAGGTGGTCCTGTGGATCTATGGATTATCTTCCTGATTTTCTCCATCTGTGCTTGGTTTTGCCCACGGCTGTGTGCAGGGGGAGAACCTGACAATGAGGCTAACTGACCTTTTTCCCTGCAGCTGCCTTTCTTCTCCTTAGTTCCTTTCTGATTCTTTGATTTCTTCGTATTCTGTGCCCTTTGTGCTTGTATAAGATGAATATCTAAGAGTCAAGATTCATTTTGTTGGGGGAAAGGATATCCTGGTTGCCCTGTAATAATTTCTTGAGCATAAGCATGCTTATTGGAACCTGGAGACTAGAGTGTAAGGAAAGATCTGGAATGGAAACTTTCTACGGAGCAGGACTCTCTTGTTATGTCACTGTGAGTCTGGTAAACAAAGTAGAATTCTAATGTGCCTGTCCCCAAGGCTGTGCAGAATAACTGATTGTTAGTAGACGAGCAGGGTATTGGGCATGTCTGGCTAGTTTGTCTCTCTGAAGGAAGCTAGATGACTTGCAGGCTTTACCACTTCTGACAGAGGCAAACTCAGTCCTAACTGAAACTTCAAGCTGGCTTTATCGGTGACCTCTGCTCACCGCAGACTCCCTAGGCTTTGGAGAGATAGTTGACCTTCTGTCAAAACAGCCTGATGCTGTTGACGGGAGGGATTGACCCAGAGCAGAAGCTTTTACACACAAGACATACTCAAACCCCCAAACCTGGGAAAACAGGATGTGTGGGGAAGTAGAGAAGAAAGAAAATGTATTCACCATTCCTTCCTGTTGGTTTCAGCATGATGAGGAATAATTACCTGGGTCTGGAGAGCTGGGCATGTGGGTGGCCACTGGAGGCTGTGGTCTGCGTAGTTAGGCAGTTAATTACTCATCCCATTCCTCTAAGCTCCCTGAAGCCCCCCTTTTCAAAGGAAAACTAGGTGGGATACTCTATCAGCCAATTCACCCTGCCCCCACTTACAGTTAAATAAGTGAATCTGTGGCTTTAAAGCAACACCTCATTATTCAACTGTGTCCCAGAAGTGAGGACACAGATCCAGAGAAGGACCTATTCTGGTGTCCCCGGGGCTGTCTCTGCACAAGGTGTGGCAACCCAAGTTCCTTCCTTGCACTGAATTTTAAAATTAATGTTTCAACTGCTAGTACTTCAATAGTGCATTAAAAATACCACTTTACAGTTGGGCTTTGTCATTTGTCAAAATTAAATAAAAGTAACCTAGGAAACTGGTGAGGCGCTAAAATTTGTATCAACTTACCTAACCCCACCATTGTTCTCATTCACTGAGTGTTTACTAAAGCCCGACATTTTACCTATAACCTCATTTCTACAAACACAAAGAGCACTGGAGAGTTTCAGTTGCCCAGTTCTCCCAGGGTGGAATTTGATCGGAACCTGGGTTCTCCCCCTCTAAGCTGCCTACTATCATTGAAAGAGCTGCTGTCCTTAAGGTTCTCTTTTGAGCTGTTGAAAGAACAAAGTCTGCAGCCAAAAGACTTACCTGAACCGCTTTTGGGCAAATGTATTTGCAATTCAGAATTTTGGGGACTGTAGAAAGCTAATATACAAGACACACCCAGGAAATCAAGAGTAGCACCCCTTAATCACCTACTCTAATGTGTGTGTGTGTGTGTGTGTGTGTGTGTGTGTATAGAACAGTCACTCCAAGTAGTTCCAAGGTCAGCTTTTGGACAGAGGCTTTTTGGAGTGGCAGAATGCTGACCCCCCCTCCCACCCCCACCCCACCGCCTTTCTTCAGATGCCTTGGAGCAGTAAGAGTTCCCTGCTTGCTTATTTGCTCCCTCACAAATTTCTCAGGCCCCTGGTGGAACTCTGCCCCATCCCAGACAACATGGAGGGGAGCGGTTGGGTGGTGCTGAGCAGCAGTGGGCTTGGCATTGTGGGCGAGCAAGGTTGTTAGACCTTTAAGGAATAAAGGAGTCTAAGTCACATTTGATAACATTGTCTTTTGTTAATCCTGCTGGAGTTCTAGGTGCTCTCTGGTTTATTGCAGCCTTTCAAACACAACTCAGAGCCATTATTTTTTGATTTCTGCTACAGAGGTGCTACGGCCTCTTAACTGACTTCTCACCACAATATGGAATGTCTGTAAATTATAGAATTTGGATGTGTACTTACAGGTAAAAACTTAATATTTGCAAGGTTATGTGTGTGCTTTTAACTCCTCCCCTCCGTCATTCACAATCTGACCCTCAACTCTGCCAAATAAATACAACTAAATATTCTTCACCCCGGCTTCGGCTTGTTCTAATGTGCTCTGGCAGGAGGGTGGCACTGAACTAACTTTATGCAGCTAATTCTTCATTCGTGGGGGTATTACTCAGGCAACAAAATTTAAAAAATCATTTTTGAAGGGTGGATTTTGTGTCACATCTCCAACCAAGATAATCCATGAAACGTAGCTTGAAGAACAAATCAATGTGTAGAAAGACGATTAAGTTAGAGAACTGCAGGCATGTATAAATCAAGCACTAGAAATGTTCATTATGTACAAAACACTGCACTGCCTTGTGTGGCTTATCCTACTTCTCAAAAGGAACCATAGAAAGCAAAGGTCAATAATTGCCATTACTTTGGATTTATACTGTCAGAGCAAAAGATTTTATTATGTATCGACTCTTTGAAAAGGCCTCTCTGCCACTGTTAATCTACTGAGTCAGAGGTTTTAAAAATATCCTTTGTATGTTTGGGGCTGCACTTGGATTTCACCCTTATGTTAGGGGATTGGTTCACGGTTGCAACTACGTTGTTTATAATTGAACCGAAAAAATGACAGCTAAAGTGCTAAGAGGCCAGCTTGCAGTAAAATGAGCGGAAATGGGCCCTGAATTTTGGATCCAAATGAGCTCTCATTAAAAGGTGGGAAATGGGTTCCACAAAGGTAAGCACTTGGCAGACCTGTGGTGCAAGGCCCAGCCCATTCACAGTTAACCTGGTGTCCT